GATGGAATGAATGTAAAACTGAAGTTCCCCCATGTAAACTATCATATAATTCACAATAAAACATAGAAGAAGAAAAAAATCACAGGCCTCCCTCCCAAGAGGAAAAAAACCTAGAGGAGATGATGAAACACAGTTGGGAAACTGTCAGTAAGGTTTGAAGCTGGGAGAAGGGTAGAGAGAGGGCCATCACACTCTTCTACTTTTATGGATGTTTGATCATTTCCATGATAGAAAGCTTTTAAAGAGAGCAGTCCCAAAGGAGGCTAGAACCCACCGCCAGGCAGGAAAGGGAATTTTGCCACTGAGGGGAATTTTGCCCAGAGAGAATCACACCAAGAGTCCAGTGCCCAAGCCAAGTCACCTCCCAGGGAACCTCCAGACCAGAAATTAGCTGGGGCTGTTGGGGTGCTCCAACATCCCCAAGGCTTGCCCTTGATGGCCTTCATAAGGCAAAGTCTTCTACAGCAGTCTCTAACTGCAGCTGCCCCTGTATCTGACCCTGGAGAGCACAAATCATTCAGACTGGGTGGTATCTGAATAATGTAGGTCCAATTATGCTACATGAGAATCATTGATTGCTATTTAAAGGATACATGCATGATCATTAATTTTAACATGCTTCCAGAAACAGTTGAATTCGTTTGTATTTATACCAACCACAGATTTACAATTTAAGTTTTATAAGCAAAGCAACGCGCTAGGAAATCCTCTGTAAAATGGCTAATCATTAAAATTCCAGCTTGTTTGTAAATTTTGGAAGGCAAGAGATGGAAATGTGGGTCATTTCACTGATATCCTTGTTGTTGTCTCTTCAAAATAATCACTTAAAAAATATATTAAAAGAGTTTAGGATTATGGCAGGAATTCAGGTATAGAATGAACTGAGTATTCTGTTTACTGCTCATGAACTTGGGTTCAACACACAGATGTGGTTCCTGAGATGCTGCATGTAGAGAGGCCGCTTAGTCATTTAATTTAATAACTGCAGGATCTCAAGACATATTCAGAATTGAAATGAGATCATAAAGACTCAGAAACAGGGTAATGCTCTGAAACACGGCTGATGTTCCAGTGAAGCTGATTGCCTTTCAGTGAGTACACAGGTGTCTAACTTCACAGATTTTGCTACACAAAATGAAAGCTTTCTGCAATAAGGTATTTAGCCAGGATAAATGGCACAAAAATATCTTCGTTGCATAGATATAGCCACTAATGTGTACTTGATAATTCCAGTAAACAGCAGAACACAGGAAAGTCACTGATGAGTAGCTTTTTCATCAAGATCACAGATATCACAAATTTACTGCTATGAGGGGCAGAGGATAGCAGTTATGTGCAGCAAATGAATTAAAACAGAAAATTCCGTAAAGGAGCATGGTGGATTAAAATGCTGTGCAAATCTGTTTTAGTAGTTAAAAACCAAAACAGCATGCTTCAGCAGATTGTCTTGTATGCATTTCCACGATGAGAAGAAACTCTGTATTATTCTTCATGTAGACTACAACAGTTTTTACTTCACATTAGCTCAAACTTATAAAAGTGAACAAGCAGAAAAAGCAAATGTTGTATTGTTGTATGGTTATTATTATTAGATCTTGTTTTTGAGGGTAGAGTAACATGTACAAGAACATCAGGAAGACTCTGATTTTTATTTTTTGTTTCCTCAAAATTCCATCCAAAGTAAGATTCTTATGATGCAACAGTGAATAATTGTTATCATGACTAATACCGACTGTTACAACAGTAAAGGTAGAAGTTTTGTAACAAAAAGGGGGGAATCGTTAATCTTATGGCCCAGGAACAGAGGCCCTTAGGACCATCAATGAAGAAGAGCATGAGCGGAATGTAGGATCCTCTCCAAAGAAACGGCGACAGCAGAGATGGAGGCAGAGATGAGGACATGGAGAGAGAGAGAGCAGCTGAGGACTCTAGACTCATGGAAAGAGAAAGGCTGTGTGCTGGCAGCCAGGAGGCAGGTTTTCAAAATATACTCTTTGGTTGTTTAAATGATTATATATTCCTGAGTGTTTCTGTGTACACACACATACTCCAAATTAGAGGGAATAGAAGCCAACACTGTTGAATGATGAAACATGGAGGTGATTGTAATCATTGCAATGAAATGATGAGTGTAAAACCGATGTTCTCCCATGTAAACTATTACACAAATCACAATAAAAACTTGAAAAAAAAATCCATTAAAAGGATGAATTTTAAGAGAAGTCATAGAAATAATGATGGTTGTGTACTGGGATGTCTTGGTGTGGCGTCAGCCGCTCCACAGAAACCCTATACAGGGTCACTATGAGTCAGAACTGACTCAACGGCACTTGACAAACAACTATAGCAAGTGATACACTGACCATATATTTTTGTTGGAGTATTTTGCTTTTTTTTTTTTTTAATATTAATGTATGTTCTATTCAATTATTATTTGAGCCTGAAACCAAACCAATGAAGAAAGGGCTATACAAAATGAAATTTCCACATAAAATGGATCAAAAAAGTTTTTCTCCCTCAATTGTTGAGATGCCATATTCACCATACATTGCAAAGGTATTCAACTATGGCTCTAAGGAGACCATCTTAAAGATGATGTGTTACTCTATGTGCTTAAATTTGCTAATGAAAACAAAACAGACAGCATCCTGAAATCATTTTGTATTGAGACTTTTCTGAGTAATATAAGATGGATTTTCTCACAATGAACTTCAAATGTGATGTTTAAAATATTTTACTCATTGGAATTCTGTTATATCAAACATGCAGATTCATTGGTCCATTTGGCATATGGAGATAATTTGACTATGAAAAGAATAGAATCACTGGATATTCATTCAGTAGAGGTTTTAGCTTTTCGCTATGTTACCAAGAATAAATGACTAGATTTGTAACTCACACATCCTTATCACAAGTACTGGTTCCTTTCAGGATCATTGTGATGTTAGATGCTCGAGTAAAGTTGGCTCCTGTAACCATCACATTACTTTTCCCTAAGGTCGATATTTTCTGTGGTTCAATGGAGAAGACCTATTGGAAATAAAAAATTAAAACACACGATCAAAGCGAAGATATGGCATCATTCCAAAAAAATCTGTTTATGCACTGCCGTTCGAAGAAATCACTGGGAAATTACAACATTTTGCAAACACAAGCAGAAGCAGACAATGTTTAATGAAATCAATGAATTCAGGGAAGAGTGCTGAAGATTCATGTCTCTCAACATACGACAGCATGAGGTCAAACCAATTAGTCTTTGTCTCACAAGACAGTTGGAAATACAGTTGAAGAGTCTGACATTCTGTCTGAAGAGTAAGATATCACCAGAGTCTCAAAAAACGCTTGCTGCCTTACAGCCTCCAGAGGCTCACAATATAAACGAAATGAAGGGAAAACAAAGGAGCCCAATGACGGAGATCAACGACAGACTCATCATTACGTTGAAATAAATGTCATTCCAGATAAATTTAATTCCCAAGGAAGTAGTTCCTAGTTCTTGTTTGGTTCAGTTAAACTACTTGAATCAAGAGAAAACCCCTCAGGAAATCAACCCATTCTGTCCTCTAATCTCAAGTAGTTGGATGCCTAAACCACTGTGACCAACTGTTTCTTCTCCATGGTTTACAAATCTCATGATCTCCTCACTGGTACACATTGCAGGTTTAATATCTTTTACAGTCAAGAAAGTCTCCCTTTGAGTCATTTGATACCTGGCCACTTAGGCCACCTTTGTGTCAATTCCAACTCGCGGCAACCCTACAGGGTACACAGTACATTGCCTCCATAGTGGTTTCTTTGCTGTAATCTTTATGCAAGTAGATTGCCAGGCATGTCTCTGGAAGAGTTGATGGGTGGGTTTGAACCACCAACCTTTAAAGTGGCTAGGTGTTGTGTAAACAGATAAGTGCTTGAGATACTAGTTGAAAGGTTGGTGGTTAGAGCCCACTCAGAGGCACTTGGAATCTGCTTCAAAACTCAATGGAGAGTGAGTTCTACTCAGCACACATGAAGCTCCGTGAGTCAAAATCAACTCGATGGCAATAAACAACAGCATGTCATCTTCTCCATTTTCAATGTCTACTCAAATCCCCCTACCCACCAAAGCCATTTATTTGATAGCAAGAATCACTACATTTTATCAAGACAAAGTAATTCTGATTTCTTTTGTTTTTATCCTAGAGGTGTGACCTTCTATCTCTTCATTTCCTTTGTTGTTCTTTCATTTCTAGCAAGTCTGTGTTTTGTTCACAATATGGTGACCAAACCAGGACACAATATTCTAAGATTCTGGCCAAGATAAAGTATAGCAAACTTTTAGCATGAGTGAATTCCATATTCACATTTTTGAAATTTGATGAAACTCCTACGGCCAGAAATGCATAGTCATGTGAAATTTGACAAAACCATACATGCTGAGTGTACTCACTTGGAGGAAAAAGTCCAAGAAACAGATGCTTAGCCACTGGGAGAACTTCAGTGATGTCTAACATCTGCCTACCACCTGCTCCTCGAAGTGACTGAGTGTTCCCTGATCCCTTGTGTGTATAACACTCATCAAGACAGCTTTGCTGGGCTGTTGGGGCTGTCCGTCCTGGTGAAATGGACTTTTTATCAAGCTCTTCCTTGGCAAACACAGGTAAGTTACATGGGAGAGCAGGTACTATCATTCTTTATCACTATGGATTGGTTTTGCAGACTGAGGTAAATTCATCGTTAATGTCATCACAGCCATGATGTAATGTGACAGAGAATTGATTTCGGCGGCAGAATTTATTTTAATCACTTTGTAAAGGACTTTAGCCCTGCATTTAGAGAATCACTAAGGACCTGACAGGGTCACTTTAATTATTCTGCTATACTTGACTGCTTTTTATGGGGGAAATTATCTGCTAGAGTGGTACTTGGAACTGGGGGTGGGGGGGTCAGCTAAAGCTTCTAGATAAATCCCTTATAAATGTCAAGTATGTGCTGTATGGCAAAAGTCTTACTCCTTTGCTCTTATATGGTGATATCTCAGTGGTCAAGTGTCTATTGAGTGCCTCCAGGGTCCCTAGGGCAGAACTTGGTGTTGTGGGACATCTGGTCTAAGTGCCCACCAGGTCAGCAGCCGGCAAATTGCAGCCCATGGGCCAAATCCAGCCTGCCACTCATTTTTGTATGACTCCTGAGCAAAGAGTATTTTTATGTTTCTAGAGAATAGAAAAGCATCAAAAGAAGAGGCTATTTCATGACATGTAAAATCAAATTTGAGTGTAAAAAACAAAGTTGTATTGGAAGACAGGTATACTCATTCACGTGTATGTTGTTTCTTATGGCTTTCACGCTGCAATGGCAGAGTTTAGTAGTTGCAACAGAGGCTTATGGCCTGCAAAGCCTGAAAGATTTACTGTCCTGCTCTATGTAGGAAAGTCTGCTGACCCGTGTGATAGAGGAGTCTACTGTCTTTTCATGGAGACAAGATAGTGTAAAACAAAACAAAAAAAGCACAAATAAACCAGTAGCCTTCAAGTTGAGTCTCCTTCCTGGAACTCCTGTGTGTGTTAGAGTAGAACTTTACTCTATAGAATTTTCAATGGCTGATTTTTTTTGGAAGTCGATGGCCAGGTCTTTCTTCAGAGCACCTCTGAGTAGACCCAAACTTCCAGCCTTTGTCTAGTAGCTGAGCACTTAACCATTTGCACCACCCAGGGACTCAGGGAGGCATGACACGTGGCTTTTTTCCTGAATAAATCACACTAAAATGGTGGTTCACTCACATTTACATCCAAGCCAGCTCTGATCTAGACAACCCTTCCTGTGTTTCACATTATACTGCTGATGGCTGCTGAAGGAAAAAATTCTCAGACACGCCAAGTAAAAGCTTCCTCTCTGCTCTCAGTAGAGGAAAAAGAGGGCTTGTAATGAATACAACAAAGAGTTTTAAGGGGTTAGATTTTACTCCCTAAAAGACTCTACAGAAATCATTAGAGGACCTGCCACCTTGCTTTATTCACCTTTATTTCCCCTTGAGTAGAGGCAGCTTGCTACTATAAAATGATTTCATTTTCAAACCTTATTGTGTAGATGCCATTGGTGTTTCGGGCGGCATCCAGCCTGACCTATCTCATGATAGCAGATGCTCCTGGTCTGCTCTCAGAGAGAAGGAGATCAGCTATTCTTTGTTTGCTCTCCTAATCTTAATCAGTGGATTCAAGAGGACCCCATTCAATAGACCATACAGGTATGCAAGAAAATGTAAGACAGGAAAAACAAAAAACACAAGGCAGTAACATGGCCATAGCTAGTGTTAGAAGTCTAACTTCAACTTTTGCTGATAAAGATGCTTATAAACCCCAAACTGACAAAAAGGCAAAGAACAGCCTCCCCACAAATGCCCAACACAATTTTTCAGACTTCATTTTGTATTTGAATCAAGAGTGAATGCATTCATGAACTCACATAAGGTAGTGGGGCCCACAAGCTTACACATAAAAAACGTAAAACTCACACTCTCCACCCACGAGTCGATTCGGACTCCTAGTGACCCCATAGAACCGAGTAGGACTGTTCCACAGGATTTCTGAGGCTGCAAGTCTTAACAGAAGACTGCCTCATCGTTCATAAGAGAGTCGCTGGTGGGTTCAAACTGCCAACTTTTAAGTTAGCAGCCCAGTGCTTAACCCACTGAACCACCAGGGATCCTTGATACAAAACTCAGATCTCTTGTGTCCTAAAGTGGCGCTTCCTTCTTAGCCAGTGTAAAGGACTTCCATGTACCAAATCAAAACACCATTGAGTGCAACCATCACAGCCCTATGTTATCTAGCAATTTATCTCAGAATGCCCCGTTTTCTGTCAGTTAGAGTTTAAAGATTGAACCGAATTATTTTTCAATGGTTGAACAATTTTAAATTTATTTAATAAAATACTATGAGTCCGGATGTCTCTTGAGCTTAAATCACTCCCTGATTTGTGTAAGGAAGCACATAAGAAAGTCATTAATTAGGTGATTTTATAAAATACCCAACTTTTTTTTTGGGGGGGGGGTTTAATTTTTTACAAACTAAGTCATTGGAAGAAACTGGAAATAGCACACCACTAAAAAGTAGTTATCTTTGAAAAGGTCTAAGAGGGTTACTCCTGACAGGAAGAGTACCTTTTGTGAAGTCTGACGTCAACACAATTCAAATTAGCATGACATTAATGGATAAAATATGGCTATGATTGAAAAGAATATCAGGGAGAGATGCATTAGCAAGGCTCAGTTTATTAAGACCAAATTGAACTCTATTAATCTGTTTTAAAAAAGAAAAAATCTGAACATAGCAAAGCTCTCTGTAGGTCTGGACCTGAATCAACACTAAGTGAAACGTCTCTCAGATTTTTCCTCATGAAATTAGTTCAAACAGGACTGAATAAAAAGTCACATGGATTCAAAACCAGCTGGAAATCTGAAACCAAAAGACATTAGAGAGATGAAAGGCCACACAACTAATTAAAGGAAAGTGTCCTGTAGGGCCCTCCAGGGGTGAGAATTTGGTTCAGAATTATTTAACATCTTTATTAATGGCTGAGACGGAAGTAATAGATTAGTGAAATACATAAGTTGAAAAGGGACCAGTGGTGGCTCAGTGGTAGAGCACTCACCGTCCACTCGGGAAACCTGGGTTCAATTCCTGGCCAATGCACCTGATGTGCAGCTACCCCTCATCTCCTCAGTGGAGGCTTGTGTGCTGCCAGGGGGCTAAGCAGGTTTCAGCAGAGTTTACGCACTAAGACAGACTAGGGAGAAAAGCGTGGTGATCTATTTCTAAAAACGCAGCCAATGAAAGCCTATGCCTGATCACATTGTGCACAGGGCAACCTTGATTCCAGGGCAACCTGAAGACAGTTACCAGTAGCGGTAGCCTGCACTGGAGAGGGGGAAGTGTAAAAGCAGGTGAGATATGTAAACAATATAGTAAAACACAACTGCACCATAGAAAAATTAAAGAGAGTGAAATAGAACAAAAGGTTAGCCCAGTCCCTGGGCAAATACCCCTCCATGTAGC